GGCGCGCTGGTCCAGTGGGAGGAGCTCCAGGTGGGGTCCTAATTTAGCTGACTAGAGGTGCCTGCCCGATAATTACAACCCCACCTGGAGCTCCTTTTGTCTGACCAGCGCGCCGCTGACACATCCCTGCTCCTCTGCTGTACTGGCGCTGCGGGATTTTTTTTCTTTTCTTCTTACTTACCTCGCCGAGCGTCGCGCCACCTAAATTAGGACCCGGAGACTGCCAGATGACCCCGCTCGGAGCGCCGCACACCGGAGCAGCAGTGACGCGACGCTCGGCGAGGTAAGTAAGAAGACACGCTGGCGCTGACTCGAGTATAAGCCGAGGGGGGCACTTTTCAGCCAAAAAAATGGGCTGAAAATCTCGGCTTATACTCGAGTATATACGGTAGAACAAAATGCTTCCAATGGTAGATTTAAAAAAAAACAAAAGGGAGCAAACAGGATAAGTTGACTGTTAGGGTTTGCATACACTTCAATGCAGCAGGAAATGCGACAAGGAGTTATACTCTTCTGTGTTACAACACAAAGGAATCAGGTGCTGTGGTCAAATTTCAATTGATTACAAAATACTGTTTAGATTTATTTACTGTTTGAGTATCAATTCACACAACAATAATAATTATTTATCTGGACATTAACTCATAGCTAATGTACTTTTAGCCAGTTCTACAGTAACATGCCCATCATCTTGGCAATGTAGCTTCAATGGTCAGCCCCACTCACCATTGTGGTTTCTGCTATTGAACCAAAGCTGTTGATAAATATGTTGCAGGTAACATTTACAGGAGGACCTGTGAGTTAAAATAACAGACAGAAAGAAGAAAATGACAGTTTGTGTACATGACATACTTTCATATCTGGCTTTAGCCAGCACAGAACAGCACTTACCATTGTAGTCTCGGTGACTGATCCAAAACTGTTTATAAAAATATTGCAAGTAACGTTTACTGGAGGACCTGTGAAATGCAATAAGAATGTTTGCAAGAGATGTGAAAGCAAAGAAAGGCAATGACTCTCATCTGTACAAACGGGTACAGATTCTGAGGTAACCAAGAGGAGGAAAAGCATATTTCACCACACAGAAAGCAAGCATTATGGATGCGTGTTGAATAAAACATACAAACAACATAAAATGTCAGTTGGTGTTTTTGAAACAACTGGTCATCTGAAGACATAAAATGAGATAATGCTGAATACTGAATGCTGGTAATGTATTATAACGGAAAGAAGAATGTAAAAGCTTTAACAACGCATTGCAGGCATCTTTTTAACAAGTGTTTAAGCCTATCATGCCAGTGTGCCTTACATTCTACTTATCTGATCAGGGAAACACAGGAATATTCAGGCTTTACATAATGACAGTCATGAAAAAGGCAAATGTTAATGTATTTAGGACAAACAAACTATACAATAGAGACATTGGGGTTGATTTACTAACCTTATAAACACACCACGAACATGTATACACCTCTGTAGTGTGTTCCCTCCCAGCATGATCTATGGGTGGAATCTAAACACCTTTGTAGTGTGTACACACCCAGCAGGTGTGTTGTGCAAAGCCCTGCCCTTAATTGCAAGGTGATGTTGTGTAAATTAGCTCTACATTGTGTTGCTTGGTTGATGAATGCAGGAATGTAAATGCATGAGGTAACCATTTTTGTCTAAACTGTGAAGCAGCATTATATATGCATCATGTGCATGATTTTTCCATATATGGCATTAGTGGAAATATGCTTATAGAGACTTTTTGGTTGATAAATACGCTTTGCTGTGTAAAAATCACACGCACCTTAACATTTACAGGAGGACCTGTGAGTTAAAATAACAGACAGAAAGAAGAAAATGACAGTTTGTGTACATGACATACTTTCATATCTGGCTTTAGCCAGCACAGAACAGCACTTACCATTGTAGTCTCGGTGACTGATCCAAAACTGTTTATAAAAATATTGCAAGTAACGTTTACTGGAGGACCTGTGAAATGCAATAAGAATGTTTGCAAGAGATGTGAAAGCAAAGAAAGGCAATGACTCTCATCTGTACAAACGGGTACAGATTCTGAGGTAACCAAGAGGAGGAAAAGCATATTTCACCACACAGAAAGCAAGCATTATGGATGCGTGTTGAATAAAACATACAAACAACATAAAATGTCAGTTGGTGTTTTTGAAACAACTGGTCATCTGAAGACATAAAATGAGATAATGCTGAATACTGAATGCTGGTAATGTATTATAACGGAAAGAAGAATGTAAAAGCTTTAACAACGCATTGCAGGCATCTTTTTAACAAGTGTTTAAGCCTATCATGCCAGTGTGCCTTACATTCTACTTATCTGATCAGGGAAACACAGGAATATTCAGGCTTTACATAATGACAGTCATGAAAAAGGCAAATGTTAATGTATTTAGGACAAACAAACTATACAATAGAGACATTGGGGTTGATTTACTAACCTTATAAACACACCACGAACATGTATACACCTCTGTAGTGTGTTCCCTCCCAGCATGATCTATGGGTGGAATCTAAACACCTTTGTAGTGTGTACACACCCAGCAGGTGTGTTGTGCAAAGCCCTGCCCTTAATTGCAAGGTGATGTTGTGTAAATTAGCTCTACATTGTGTTGCTTGGTTGATGAATGCAGGAATGTAAATGCATGAGGTAACCATTTTTGTCTAAACTGTGAAGCAGCATTATATATGCATCATGTGCATGATTTTTCCATATATGGCATTAGTGGAAATATGCTTATAGAGACTTTTTGGTTGATAAATACGCTTTGCTGTGTAAAAATCACACGCACCTGGTGCGTGCGTGTGTTTAGGTTAGTAAATCACCCCTATTGAGTCAATGTGGTTAATTTTCTAAAGTAATGAAAACGGTTCACTTTGGAAAGTGAATGTTCCCTTTTGCAAGTGAATCTTCACTTTGCAAGAGTGAATTAGGCTTAGTGAATGAGGGTAAGTTGTGCTGACCTCAATCATCCAATCATACACAAGCAAAAATCCTGTTTTTCCATTTTCTTTGCATGTGATTGGGTATACTTTCCAAATTGAATTTTTGACCACATTTACTAAGGTAAGTGAGAATTCCTTTGCAAAGTAAAAATTTACTTTTCATAGTAAACTGGCTTTATTCATTTTAGTAAATCAGCCACAATGACACAAAATTGGTCTGCATATCAGCTTTCAAACCTACACCACTATAAAGGCCTCTTCTACAGTGAAGTAGAAGATTAGTATGGTGTACACCATGGTTTATAGAATGGCCTAGAGTGTGAAAGGTTTTAAACCAATCGATCCAGACAGACATGGTGTGGATACATAAAAGGAGTTTTAAAAATAACATTGATCAATTTATTGATTTAATCTAAGAGATTTCAGCCTGTGTATCTGGGTTCACTAACAGGCATGGATGTGTATAAGGTCCAGCTAAGCCAAAGCTTTCTTAATTCTTTGACCAAATGTCTATTTTCAACGTTCACAGCATAAACAGGACCATGCAACTATTCAGCCGGTAATTGTGGCCCATGAGAGCATATAATTGAAAACCTTGTCTGTTTAATAGTGTGCAAACACATGCCAACTAGAAGAGCATAGGACCAACAACCCTGTCACTTTTCTGAAACTAAACTCAACCAATAGGAATATAGGAAATGTAAAAGGTTTAATAAATAGTTACATTTTTATACATTATTTGTACAAACACACCATTGTTAACATAAATTAAGAGTATTGGTGTTGTTATACTCCTACCTGTGAATAAGTAGTAGGGATGGTTAAGAGTTTTTTATTTCCCTGAAATTTCTGTGAAAATGGAGAGATAATGCAGAAATTGTGCTATTTAGGGGAAATGCTAAGGAGGCAATGGGAAGACAAAAGTATGGTGTTTTAAGGGTTCTTGTGTCAAAAACAGCCTCTTATTAGCCACATTGGTTTAGTTTTCACAGAAAGAAAAACCTCCAAAAAGGAAAGAAAGAAATTTAAAGTGACAGCACCCAAATAACAATCAAATGCACACAATACGGGGGAAAACAAATACAAACAACACTAAATTAAATGATCTAAACTGCCCTAAATATTCCCCTCTTTAAATAAAGAAAAAAAGGTAAAAATAATTTGCCTACGCATAAGCAACTTATAGGGCAAAATTGAGAGTTTCTTTTGGAAAATCTAAATGACGGACACATTTTGCAGTGAAATAATTTCTCAGTAAGCACTCCACTCATTTCTAGTAGGGAAATATGCAGGCTTATTTCATATGAGCCAGGAGAAATTATGTTTAGTAACCCCAGTATGAAATTATATTTCACATTCCATTAGTTTAGAGTAATCAGAACTTTGAAATAAAAATCAGACTGACAGATTAATCCAGAGAATAAATGTCTAAATATAATTGCAAGATTTAAGATAAAATTTCCTTTGGATCATCTCATATGACTGAAAGGCCCATCGTCTACCAAAATTAAAATAAATTCCTTAATTAAACCAATTATAACAATTGGGTCTTCAGTTACAATAAAAAGAGATTCAGTTCTTTTTCAGTACATTTGCTCCTATAGGTGTGCTTCTCTGTAGAAAAGAGACTTTGAATAATAGAAATCCACTTTTATTTGAAGTCCTAAAATAAATCTTCTAATATTGTAAGTATTCACTTCAGGTAAACTGACACAGCCCAGAGGGCATTTGGTAAATGCGGTCTCTTATGATGGGGTCTAATAATAATACATTTAGGAAAAATGGTGTAGCACGAACAGCTGGGAAATAACTGATTATAAAATAACTGATTTATATCAGACTATGAATATGGAGATAGACTTTGAGGTCCTTGAATTGACACTAAACTCAGGAGTTCAATCTTAAAAATGTATTCAAGTACCTTAACTATTAACAAAAATGCATCTTATTTGTGTATCATTCGGCTGTAGATCTTCAAAGCATCTTTGAGTTTGTGCTGACAATATCCTTCCTTCTGGAGGGTGGCTACTTTTGTTCCCCATGGTCCCTGTGTGTGTTGTAAAGTAGCCACTGCTCCAAGCTCGCTCCCGGGATGGACTACAATCTCACATTTAGTTTAGTATTTTGTATTTAAACTGTAGTCTGTCACGAGAGTGAGCTTGTGGTAGTGGCTACTTTACAACATACACAGGGACCATGGATGAACAAAAGTCACCGCCCTCTAGAAGGACAGTGTCAGCACACATTCAGAGATGATTTGAGGATCTACAGCTGAGTGATACACAAATAAGATATATTTTTGTTAATAGTTAGGGTACTCAAATTCATTTTCAAGATTTAACTCCTAAATTTAGTGTCACTTTAAATGTTTGTCTGTATTTTTTATGAATAAAATGTGTTTTCTCCATTCACATTTGAGTTGATCCAACAGTGAAAATTCTGCTTTTGGGTGAACTCATTTCATGAACAAGTGTACCTTGCCACTTGAACATTTATCCATTCAGTAGAATTGCCAAACTTCCAGCTACAATAGTGACAGATCAGCGGGAGCTCAATGACTGTTTTTTTAAAGTGATTTTTTTTTTAAATCCTCCTTTGCAAAAGAATACTCTTAATGCTTGCATCTCTGCAGGCAGTGAGTCCAAGCTTCTCTGTTTTTAAGAACCACTTCCAGGTGTGTTGAATGTCTGTATTTTTCACCATGCAGTGGTTCCATATACCAGCCCTTACATCACTACAAGACAGGAGTAGTGACATAGGGGCTGTTGGATAGAACCACAACACGCATTGAGGGACCAGGTATTCAACACACCAGCAAGAGTGTTGAAAGCTGAAAACTCTTCATCCACCAAAGCTCTTGAAGACAGTGAAGTTCAGACTTTAAGACTATTGGGAGCCTTCTTTTGCAGATAGCTCTGTTAAGTGAATCACTTGATTGATTGATTTTTTTAAATGGTTCTGTTGCTGTGTAGCGTTACATGTCAGGAATGAATTTGTGCAGATTTGCAAAGTTACTAAGAAGTCCACTTTAAATATTATTGCATTTACAGTATGTTATAGGTTGACCAATGATTTATATGATCCATTGATCACATACCCTTGATTATTCTCCTGTCTTTAAAGGGTATGTATAGTCACAACTTTTTTTTTTTAAGAGTGGTGAGGCGTTAGAACATCTGTTTAGTTTCTATTGTTGTCTATGACCCTGCATGGTAGATTCACCCTGTTCTTGTGACAACTGTCTAGATGGGGAATTCCCCCCACATTGTAGAGATTTAATTTAACTTGTTGTTATGTCTCTAATGGGACAGAAACAGCAAAATAAAAATAATAGTTTTTTTGGCCTTTACACACACTATCCAAAACTCTAAAACAATGACTACACATACACTTTAAATCTTTTGACTACCTAAAGGCTTAGAAAACTGATATATATCATCTGTTTACAGCATCACAATTCAATGATCCATTACTTGATATCTAATGGTGGCAAACCAAAATAAAAAAAAAGATAAGGACAATGCCCTTCTTACCCCTTCATTAAACCAGCCCAAGTATTTTGGCCCATGAGACTTTGGTCTATAAAATCCTTAACTACCATACAATAATTAGTTTTTGGTGGATTTGAGGCTAAAGATAGATCTGTGATGTGCTTTAACAGATTGTTTTTTTAAGTTGTGGATGCAATTTCCCTTCATTACTTTTCCCCCTTTGCTTTGGTTTTGTAAGTACCATCTTTGCAACGTTGATTCCTTGTTTCCTAACAGTCTCATTATAGTGCAAATTGCTCAGACTGCTTATAAATAAACAAAGATGGCTTCCGCCAACTAGTAATTATTCCAGCCAAAAACAGATCTCCTGAATGCTATGACAACCATTGGCTTTCTGCCCCCACCAGACATTTTTCCTCCATATCCAAACTGAATGTTTATTCTTCTGTCATCATTGTCAGTGTAATGCAGTAGAAACTGATCATTTATTTCATTTTGTGTTAAGTGTATTGCTACCGGCAA